CATCTTCTGCTCAGGTTTCCATTATAATTGAAAATCTAATTTTATTGCGCACACCTTAACATAGCTCAACCATTACGATAGAGATACTAGATAGGAAGTAATATTGTTGTCTAAATTTTACTCTTGTAATCGTAATTACCTCTCCAATTGGGCTTCAAATTTGGATAAATAATAAATTTAATACGTTTCTAAATTAAATTAAAAAATTATTATATTAGTGCAAAGATACGAGTTGAATTCATAAAAAAAAAAAAGTAGAAATAGTAATTCATGTGTCAAACATAGACAAGTATTACTCTAAAGAGATCGTCCTACAGGTAAAAACACCGGTCTCTGGATAGCACTTACTAAGAGGTCTCGTAAATTCTTGATGCCTTAAGATGAGCATGATATCTGAATATAGGTTACTGGTTTTTGGATGTTTTTTTAAAAGAAAAAAAAAACCATAGACAATCATTGTTAAAAACAAAAATGATAATTAAAACCAGAGCATATATGAACGCTTCAATTCAAAATACACCAACTTAATCCTAAGATTAAGCATATCCAACTAAAAATAATCCAACTGAAATAGAGCAGTAAAAAAAAAAAAAGGAAGAAGAGTGCATTAATCTTATTTAAGAAATAGTATATAAGAAAGGAGAGTGGAATAATGTGGTGAAGTTGTGAAATGAGATGAAATTAATGTGGAAACTGACCTTGGCATGCAAAATGGCCGTTTTGGCGAAGAAGATTCAAGTGGTAATACAGCGTAAAAACCAAGGCCGGTTCAGTCCACAGAGAAATATAGAGCAGGTTAAACTTCTTCGCAACCTTCGACGGCCACACGAAGAACGTGTCCGCAATCAGACACGTCACCGGAGCCTCTCCTCGCGACGACGCCGTCTTCACGATTCTCTCCACCTCCTCTTCCACGTGGGCCGAAAACACGTGCAGCAGCGACCTCATGAACTGGTCGTGGTTCAGGGACCGGTCGAACCCAACGGGGAGGCCGTCGGAGATGGTGCTGTAGTGGACGTCGAGGCCGGACTTCCGTACGCCGGAGAAGATATCGCCGTCCACGTCGGCGGAGTGGGCGTTGGAGGTCTGGTGGTGGATGGCGTGGGTGTTGACGAAAGAAATGGTGAAGCCACGGGAGGCCAGGTGGGTGGCCAGGTGGACGGAGGGGATGACGTGGCCCTGGAGAGGGTACGGAATGAAAATGGCGTGGGGCCTTTGGCTTTGCCGGTCGGATTCTGGGGCCATTTTTTTGGGTGTTGTGTTGTGGAGGCACAGATCAAGAACAAAATCACAACTACTTAATTCGGATCCATCGGTACACAAATTTTATTTATTCTAAAATTTGATCTACTTTTGACCATACACAAGACAAGAACCAAGTTGACCTAAAAAATGATTGGATTTGCCTCATTTACGGATCAAATAAATATTATATGGAAAAAAAAATCATTAAATCAACGGGGTTTAAAAGGGCATGCAAAATTACTTAATTATTTTATATCAAGAAAAAGAAAGAGGCAAGTACACAGAAGAAAGGGGAGGAAGAAGTTGATGAGTCAGAATTTTCAATTAATTTAGCAGTGGAATTTCCACAGAGACGTACGAGGAAGCTGTGGCCAAATGGCATTGGGTTAAAAGAGAAAGTTCATCCACAAAATTTCAGAAACCATGACGGTCGGGTCGGAAATAAATAATTAATTAAATGTTAAGGATAAATGTTAACAAACCAAGCGGTGTTTGGTGTCTTCATTTGATATGCGTTTCATGTGAATTGGAATGTGGCTCCTTCCGGGATGGTTTTATTTCTTAAATAAATTAGATTTTATTCTGGAAATTGTATTTGATCATCGTCACAACAAATTTTATCCCTACAATTGCAAAGTATTCATTGATAAGATATTTTGCAAAAGGCCGTAGAACAAATTTAATAACTTGCATTTAAGTGAATGTATATGCCTATGAATATTATAATTCATATTAGTTATACTATTGATAAATACGTTATATTTAACCTATTATATTGCATAAATGACATTTGAGTAATAATATTATAGTTTCTTTTCGTTTTTTATATATTTCTAATTAAGCAGGTGGGTTTTTTTGTTTTTGTTTTTAATACATCCAGAGAGATAATGAGATGGTGATTCCAAACCTTGATCTTTAAAATGTGATATATATGTATAAATAAATGTATGTCTTTAACTAATAAGTTATTTCTCATGTTGACAAAAATTAACTTTTTTTTTCTGTTAAAAAAATGAGCAGCTTGTTGTCTACGTTAAAAAACACTGTATGACTAGTGTAAGACTTGAATTTGAAACCTTGGAGGTAGGTGGTACGTCAAGACTTCAAACGATTGCCAATACACTATCCCAAAGAGACAAAAAAATGAAAGTTTAATTAAGTAGGCCTAAAGAGACATATATAATCTAGATATCAAGATCAGTCCCTCATTTTTTATCTGGAAAAGAGAATCTTGTTTCCAATTTAGGGTTGCGACTGGGTTTGGAAAAGGAAAAGGAATTAACTTAGAGCGATGAATGGATCGAGGGAGCATCAACCTAGCTATAAAGAAACTTAGGCTAGGGACCCTGACCAATTCGAAACAAAAATAAATAGAAATATTCCAAAAAGGGAACTCATGGACCATATTCTTAGCCCATCCAAGGGACCAAAAAAAAGGACTAACCCTGGCCTATTCTCTAATTCTCAAAAGGTTGTGTTTTTTTTTTTTGTAACAGACTTGCATATGGCCTTACAAATGGACGCAGTTCCAAGCAACCAAGTGTGGTCATCGGGCACTGTATAGACGAAAATCTATTGTTCATTCAATTAAAAGGAGACCACTATAAAGAACAGAGATACAACCATGTATTGTATTCAATTCTCACCTTAGTGACTTCAGTCTTCTTTGATCCTACTAACTTAGGCATCACATCGTAATGTCAGTGTTAGTAGCTTAGTACTACACTGGTACAAGATTCCTTTAATTATAGGAAGTTAAATTTTACAAGGAGATTCTACGATCTTTTGATCATGCACCAACCTTTATAATTTTAAAATTCATAGAATTCTAACCATGAATCATACAAATTCTTTTTCCTATGTTTTCTCTTTAAAAATGAAATGAAAAATACAAAATGAGACAAACATAAAATAAAAATGATACCAAATACAGATAAACATTAAGTTCCTTTTAATCCATTGTAAATTCGCGCTACATCAAATCAAATATAGCAGAGCCAATATTATTTTAACTCATAGTGTTGGAAAATATGTTTTATTTTTTTCAATAATCTGTATTTAATGCCAAATATTTTACTCATTGATATATTTATTATCTACCAACTTTTTATATAAGGTTTATGTCTTTTTGGATATGTAATTGTTAAAAAGGGAAAAAGTAAACAAATGTTATGGTATATAAAGGAATATTTTATCTGTTTAATTAATTAGGCTCCATTTTTCCAGGTTTCATAGACTCCACCCCCACGCTATATATAGTTGATACCTACTTTGGTGTCGTGGATAAGTGAAATTGCGTAAAGGCACCTTTAGATATTGACGCAGGGACAAGAGGTTTTGACGTTGACACCCAAAATCGGTGAAGTTTCGTAAAGACAAAAACCTCTGAGATAGATCATGGACGAGCCCTGACTTTACAACCTTAAAATAAACACAGATTTTGGAATAATCCGATATAAAACCCAAAAGGTTGGAGTGACTTAAATAAATAAACAATAATTAATTATGCAAGTTTCCTAATAATAATACTAATAATATAAATTATAAATTTGATGTGTGAATTGGGATGTGACATATTAAAGCTTTGGTTTTTAAACCATATAAACTTTCTCTCTATTAACCCATACATCTGAAACTAATAAAGGAAACACAAGAGGAGAATATTGAGTGACTTAATTATGCAAATATATATAGGAGTATAGTTTATATAAAAAAAAAAAAAAGAAAGAAGTATTAATAAAATATGATCCCATTTATAGGGAAGGGACATGAGAATTGAGAATAAAAGTACAAAAGAATGGGAAGACATCATTTAGTTGAGACATAATCGAGTGTTGGGTTTGGAAGAAAGGAACAAAACACTGGTTGAGTAGTATCAATCTTATTGAGCTCATCTAATGGCTCACGCAACAAAGAAGAAAAGTGTATATATTTGAGCTGCTCTTTGGCACATGAGCTTGTCACCTTGCCTTGTCTCCAACCACTGCCCCACAGATCATGTCTTTTCTGGGACATCATTGTCCTCTCCTCTGCTCTTTCGTTTCATCTCCACCCCTAATTTTACTCTTCTCAATATATCTTTTTTTCATCACCCAAGTTTCGTAACGTAATATAATGTTCATTTCGATTGATTTCGATTCTTATACTTTCAGTTTTTGTTCATTTTGGTCTCTGTATTTTTTAAAATATTTATTTTGGTCTTTTTACTTTCGACTTTAGTTCATTTTAGTTTATGTACTTTTAAAATGTTTGTTCTGGTTCTTGTATTTTTAAAATGTTCGTGTTTGTTCTTATTTGCAAAACTTTAACACAAATTCTACACGTAACATAAACTAATTCTTAATATAAAAGCATGGTTATATTTCAAGAAAGATATTGAAGGTAGTATTCTGAAAAAAAAAATTAAATGACCAAAATGATAACTTTTTAGAAGTACATGGACAAACAAACATTTAGAAAGTATGAAGACTAAAATGGACAAAAATTAAAAATACAAGGACCAAATTAAACCGGATCAAAATAGTATTTTAACCAAATTATTATTAACAACCTCATTCTTGTAGACACTTGGTATATATCTATTATTTTCAATATTAATTCACTCCCTACTGATCAATATTATTGCATGACGACTTTATTTTATTCAATCATATTTTAATATAATTTTATATTGCTTTTAAGTTTCCCATTTTATATGTTGTGTTTCATCCACCGGCCACTGATGTTGTTCTTACCAAAAAAATATCGGTAGTCACAATAAATCCTTAGAACACTCGTGGAATTGAACCTCTAAAAATCAAGTAAGCACTCTGACGATCTAGTTAGTCCATGTGCTAGATAAATTAATTAGAAAGTATAATAATCCGTTTTTGCATACCATTTTCATTTGACCATGTGATATTTATAGACGGGTAGTGGCCAGATGACTGTTGAGGAGCTTGGCTCCGTTTTTGAACTATACGATTAGTTTTCCATGAAAATAGGAAAACTGCACATTGAGTGGGAGAGAGGTTTGACTGTCGTGGCATAAAAAGAGGAGTAAATTGTCTATCTTGACACCCAGCTCGATTACGTGTTTAGTTCGGCCATTATCCGACCTTGTGCTATATGGATCGGAACCGGATAACGTGTCCCTTAAGATTTTATGGTTAACCAGATGTTTTCACCCATATTATTTTCTTGAAGTTTACATGCATGCATACAGGTTAATTCTTTCTATTCAAAACATTATTATAATTTATACCCACATTACTCTTTTGATTGTAAATGATACAAATATATATATTCCTTTGTATTTTCTTCTTAATTAGTCAATTTTATATTAATGCCTAGTATTCTAAAAAGGGACGATGTTGAGCCGCCGCCTTATTTTATTGATTTACATATCATCATTTTAACATACAATTTTTTTTAATAAGATGAGCATGTTTTGTATACTATTATGTATCAGTTTGGTTTGTGGCTTAATTGATTAATATCCTGAGTAATCTTCATTAATAAAGCTTTTTGAGTTGTAAAATATTCGGTAATTAATATACAATATAACTCCAAATGAAATATACTTAAGGAGTGTTCGTCATAAATTTAATTGAAGGACTTTTTAAATATAGCCTAATTGTTAGAGTTGAAAACCACCTTGGTAGCTAGATGATGGATCCAACTCAATGCAGCCATAAGAATATTCGAAAAACTATAGGCATAGAAAGAACGTTATTTACATGCATGGCATATTTATAATAATTCTTTCAATTGAAAGAAACCTAATTAATTATTTCAAAATATAAATAAAAATAATGTTCTATCATTCTATATAGATTCTATGTGGGGGGGGGGGGAGAAATGTAATTTTATTTGCCTTTCTTAAAAAAGAGAAATAGAAACAAACAATGATAATATTATCAAACAGGATTTAAATAATAAATAACATACAAAAACATTTTACAAAATATTAACAAAAGCAAAAGAAAAAACATATTGCCTCGAATTATTATTTGATATTCATCAACGATTCATTAGACGTAGCCGGATTTCTGCCAAAAACTAGAATTATTGGGAAGGATATCTTAACAAAGAAAGACCATGCAGTTATTTAGCATGAAAATATTGGAATAAAATTAATTAAAGGAAAATAGTGGCAATTATTAGTTATTAAAGAAAGCGAAAGTAAGAGCAAATAATTAGATCGAAAAAGCCATGTCCGGAGGTATTGGTTGACCAGTTCAAAACGAAGAATGAAGGGAGACGGGTGTCAGACTACAAGTGGCTGAATTTGACGTTTTGTTAAGGTGGCTGGCTGCACCCAACTGCCAATGCCGATGATGTGGACACTGATTTCACACGTGGAATGGAATAAGACAATTAAGCCCCATGCCCCCCACATAAACGTACCCGATGACTGCCCCAATTAATAATAAAAAATACTTTTCGTGAAAATCAAATCTTATTTTCACTATTAAAAAAAATTAACAACTCTTATTTTTTTTAGATGTCTATTTCTATCTCCATGATGAAGAGAGTCAAGTTTTTTCCTTTAATAATTCACATTTCTCAAAAAGATTTACTCACTCCCATCAAACCCAAATCAAATAAACAATATTGTGAATTGTCTATTATTATATTCACCAACATTTTTATTTAGTTCAAATAGTCGACATCCAATCCACAAGAAAATAATTATTCTTCATTTTTGTTAAAATAAAGACCAAAAATATCAAACCAACCACCCATATTCAAGTTTTGGGAATAATAAGGAAATTGAGAAGGTACGGGGAAGCATCAATATTAAGGAAATAGGTGGAATTTAAAAAAAAATGGTTTAGGGGGAAAGGGGGAGGTGGGAATTAATTATTAGTGTTGGGAGTGGGACATGTGTCATGTGGGGCAATAATCCGAAATTAATTAATTAATTAATTAATAATAATGAAGAGAGGGGTCCGGTGAGCGGAGGTGGGTGCACAGAGTGGGTGTACAACCATGCATTTAGGTTTTGTACAACGCCTTGTCTGTACTTTCCGTTATCTATTTATACGTGTGCTTCTAAAATCATAGTGTTCACACCCCCCTCTGATCCGACGGTCCACATCTCATCCTACATATTCATTGTAGATCCACCTTTAATTTAATCCACGATCCTTCCCTAATGTTTTTCTTTTATATATGATGTTATATTTAATCCAGGATCTTTACCAAAAAAAAGTATATCATTTTTATATTTAATATATGATGTTATCCAAAATAACTGCAACAATTTCATCGACACATGAAACATTACCAAATGTACTATTTTTGTTGCTCAAAGGTTAGAAATATATTATAGAGTAGAGTAACAAAATAGGTCTTTAATGATCGGAATAATTCAACTAATTAATGAGGGGATGATTTACGTCGACAAAGCAACCAATCAAAGTTTCTGTTATGATCTGGTTTTTTTTTTATTGAAAAAAAAAACAGTGATTATTTAGCAAAGTACTAAATCAAAGTTGACAGGTCCTTTTCCACTGTCCCCTAACTGGATTACAAAAATGGTTAGCTTAAAAAGCAAAATAATTCAGAAAAGATACTCCAACAAACCCTAAAACCTTCTTCCTTTGTTCTTCAACAGTTTTAGGAACCTGCGAAGAAAACCAATTCAATATATCTGAACCCCACTTTATTTTCATCATTGCTCTCAAGTGATCAAATGGATACACAAATATCATAACACCTCTACTTAGTATTGTACTGTACTGGTCACAATTTTGTTGAGTTTAGACAACGAACTCCAATAAATAGGAATTTTTCTCTGATCACATGTTACAAGTATATATTTTCGAGTTGGTCCATAAAATTGTTCGAGTTATTGATATGGTTGAGCCGAAAAAAATGAGGTGGCAGGTATGTGAGATCCCCCATGCATTTGCATGCATGTGAAGTAGTTTTCAATGAAAGCATTTGAGAGTTGAATTTTGTTTGGCTTTTAGGCCGTTACCTGTGGCTTTTTTTTGAACACTTTTTCACTATCGAAAGGGACATTTCAATAAAAGATAAATTCCTCCATCACTTGTCAAATTAAAAAGGCCCCCCTAACTCCGATCCACCTATATATATATATATATTATTTATTTATTTTTATATACTAAATGACTAAATTTACTTCAATCAATTTTTTCTTTTTTTTTTTTTTTTGCAAGGTACGAAATGGCAAAGTACGTTAAATTTATTACAAAATGACTCGGCAGACTTATTTAAGATATTTTGATGGTACAACACAGCCATGGGATATTTTCATATTGTACTCTATACTCACTGCTGTTTTTAATTCCTCACTTCTTTTTAATATTTTGGGTTGCAGAACTAATTAATTAATTAAGTTTGTTTATGAGATAAGATGATAGAAATCAGAGGCTAGGGATTGGCTGATGAGCCATAGTTTTCTATTTTGTACGTGGACATGTATGTGCAAGTGCAAAACACAAAACATAAAGAAATTAATGCTCACCCATCTCTCTCCCAAAAAAAATTAAAAAAAGTCTATTAATTAGTTAAAGACCAAACCATTTATTTATTGATCCTTGTTGGTCTGGGAGACAATTAAAAACACTCCACAACACAAACACAAGCACAACCAATATAAGGTTTCAAATGGGTCATCGCTCCTCACTTTACCATTTTTAAGTTTTCTACACTTTTAGAATGGTATCTCTTAATTAACACTACCAACATTCTGACCTTTCAACTTCAGGTCTAATAGAACCACTCCACTTTCACTTTTGAATCTAATAAATTCTTGATCTATTCGGAATTTTTTACTCAAAATTGAAAGTCATATTCTTTAGCAGCTAAAGGAAAAAAGGGGATTTTATAAATTTGGAAAGAATTGAAATTAAATGAAAAATGAGAAAGTTTATGAGAGGCAGCTTTAATTATTTGGGGACAGACATGACTATGAAAAGAGACGTTTCATGGAATGCCGAGGAGAGCACGTACTCACATGCTATGGTCTCCAAACTTATATTATATTGCATTTTTAATTTAATTTCTACAGTTTTTAATTTCTTAGAGGGAGATTCATATTCAATTCAATTGATTTCTAACTGTTTTATTTTGTTCAATAATTTTTTTTAATAGTATATTTGAAGTTGAACATCCTGCCACAATATAAGACCCAATCCACCCCCTCTTAAAAAAGAGGAGAAAGGACCAAACTTTTTGAGAAATACCACGACCAAATTTCCATGGCTAAGCTTGTCACCAACGCCAAGAAAAAGAATGGCATTGTGAAGCTCAAGACCGCTGTGGGGAAGCTGCAAAGAAGCCTTTCATTAGGTCGAAGGTCCAATGCTAGCCACGATGAGTTCGACTACGAAGCCGGTGATGACGACTCTGGTACTTCGGTACCGGGAGACATCAAGGAAGGCCATTTTGCGGTCGTGGCGGTCGATGCCGAGGAGCCGAAGCGATTCGTCGCCCCGTTGAGTTGTTTGACCAACCCGACGTTTTTGAGGCTGCTGGAGGCGGCGGCGGAGGAGTATGGATTCGATCACGAGGGAGCGCTGACGGTGCCGTGCCGGCCGAGCGAGATGGAGAGGATCTTGGCGGAGCAATGGGGGGAGGAGGAGGAGGAGAGCGGCTGCATTTGGGGATAGTGATCGTTGGAGAAACCATAACGTGGGACTTTGAAGCTATTGAAATGACCAATGGAAGGAGGTTGTTTTTTTCTTAGCTTCAACTCTTCACGCCAATTTGTAAAACTCTCACTATTTTTCCAATGCAAAATTTGGTATTTTGAGAATGGCCTAACTATAAAGTTTATGGCCATTCGATCATTTCTGTTGTCTTGTGTTTGGTGTGAATTGTTACTTTTACTCTCTACGTTTTTCAACATGTGTCGTTTTTCTACTTCCATTTGTCTTATTTTATGTCTCTACTTTTCTTTTGTAGAAACAATAAGTCTTAAAATGGTGTGCAAAAAAAAATAATAATAATAAAAAATCAAATAAATGTTTCTTTTGTTATCTTGTGTTTCTGATTTTTTATATTACAAAAAATATGACATTATTAAGTTTCTCATTTGGCATTACCATAAAAGTATACATTATGAAAAAAATGTTTTAACTTTTCATTTGTAGGAGGAAAGCCCTAGTGTTTAAGAAGTAGGTACAAAACAGTTGATGAATAAGAATTTTTGTTTATCGCTTTAATTGCATATGAATCAAAATAAAATTGAAAACATTTTTGTTTTTGTATACAATCATTGTCTAAGCTAACATAAAACAAGGTTACATTAATCATAAGGGTACTGATGGTAATCAAAGGTTGCCGATTGCAGGAGCCCACAACCTGGGCTTAGATTTGTGGTCTCTTTTATGCAAAGTTGTAAGCACATTTTGGCTTATTTGTGTTGAGTTATTAGCTTAACTAAGATTCACACATCCTTTAACTTCTTCCTAGTCCCATATTCTTGGTTGGGCTAATCTCATATGGACCCATCTACAACGTTATTGGATCCACTTAAATTTTGAGAGTACTGATAGAAGAATTGGTGGACATGAGGCAAGTTACATTTGAATTCTCCACAATAAAAGGGATGAACTTCGTTAATTCTCGCTTGTGGCCTTATATGTTTACTCAGTAAGCTTCTTACATGACCGAATTTGTGTAATGGATTAAGGTGGGGAAGATGTTTAAAAAATTGACCCACAACAGTAAACATATATTAACTGGAGAAAGGTGGTTGTCAAGGTAAATATCAGGCTTAGATCTGTAACCAACGTACGCAAATTATAAAAATGGTTAATTTCCACTTTATTATGTTCATGCAGGAGGTAAAAAATTTATTCTCTCTCCACCTCCATGTGCTTATGAAAATAATCGGGAGAAGCAAGGGCAGAACCGGCACATTGTGTAGTACAATAATTTCAAACTAAACGTGGCATGGAAAAGCATGGGCCAGCGTAGGTACTAGGTGTACGTGTACGTGTACGTGTACCTAAGAAAATTTCCTGTACTATGAAACCATACTACTCTTGTTTATTGTTCCTATAAAATATAGGATGGATGGTGAAATAAAATAATACATTACTCAATGATATGTTAAAATATAAATGACTTGATGACAAATAAAAAATGGTTGAATAGTTGGATTTTAACAGAACAAAACGAAAATATTTTAGGCACCAGAATGACGACTATGACTATGGAATTATGAGTGCAAAACTAGACCATTCATGCATCTTACTCCAAAAGAAAATTTTGCTCGCACAAACACCACAACATCAATTTTCATAAAGAAACTCACATTCCCAGCTGCTATATTTCAGAATCTCAACGCATGATTACACTCGACTACATTATTATTTAGGGAAGTCATATCGCATAAGATCAATATATTTCATTCAATAAAAACCAAAAAAAAATATAAGATGACTTTTGTTCGTAGTTGCTTGCATAGTGTCTAAGAATATCAGTGGCTCTATCTAGTTGGTTAAAAAACCAACTAAAAGATATAGGATACATGAATGATTAAACAAAAACATTACCTACTAGGCCCATTAAAATTGCTGGCTCGAAACAATAACCAAGCCCATCAAGTGTTCAGACGTTTTGATTGTTGGTACCATCACGAACATGCTGGCCGACCTGCGGCGTATGTCGAGACAAGAAGCCGATGACTACGCCACAGTTCTTTCAATAGTATTAACTCACGATTTTACAGTTTAATCAGCTAACCCAGCCTTCGCCTTCAAATGTTGCTTGAAGTCCATGATGTCACCCTCCCACCTGGTTACAGCTTGGTTCTCACACACCCATATCTCCTGGGCGACTTGGTTTATAAGCCTAAAGTCGTGGCTGACAAGAACCATTCCTCCGTCCCACTCATTCAGTGCCTCCGCCAACGAGTCAATTGTCTCTATATCTAAATGATTAGTGGGCTCATCAAGCAATAATAAGTGGGGTTGCCTCCATGCTAACCAGGCAAATATAACACGGCTCCTCTGCCCATCAGACAAATTCTTCATTGGCATCACTTGAGCTTTACCCGAGAGCCCAAACTTCCCAATTGCTGCCCTCATCTTCTCTTCCTCATTTCCTGGATACTCTTTCATCATAAATTGGAGAGCAGGCAATTCCATATCTAGTTTCTCAGCTAAATGTTGATGAAACTGGGCAATTCTCAGATGATTATGTCGCCGGACCATGCCATCAAGAGGAACCAGGTCCCCCGTCATCAGCTTCAACAGGGTACTCTTTCCAGCACCATTGGGTCCAACCAGAGCTATTCGAGAGTCCAAGTCAACTCCAAAATCAAGGTTCTTGTAGATGAGATTATCAGGGGTATAACCAAACGTTACTTCCACAAACTGAAGAACAGGAGGGGGAAGCTTTCCAACATCAACAAAGCGGAAGACAAGAACCTTGTCCCTCACCACCTTTTCTGTAAGCCCACCCCTCTCCATTTTTGCCAGTGTTTTCTCTTTGCTCTGTGCCTGCCGAGCTAGTTTTGCTGACCCATGCCCAAATCTAGCAATATACTCTTTCATGGAAGCAATTTGATCCTGCTCCCACTTGTACATTTTCATCTGATTTTCTTCCAGTTCAGAACGGGTCTGAACATATTGATCATAGTTACCCGTGTAGATCTTTAGTTTTCTGTTCTGCATGTGGATAATGTTTGTGCATACACCGTTCAGAAAGTCCTGGGAATGTGAAACCACTACCAGGATGCGGTCAAAATTCTTCAAGTTTTCTTCTAGCCAGACACAAGCTTCTAGATCTGTCATTCAGGAAAACAATAAAGATGTCATCAGAGTATTCGATTTCTGCAATATCAATTCATATGACATGTACAAGGTGGCAACGTCATGTCAGATTGGGTTCATTGGATTAGCGAGTACATTCCCGAAGGAATACATGAGGTTTTTATAGCATGAAATTCTTTTTCTGATAATTGAACACCATTATAGGTGCATCTTACATGCATTTCTTATTCCAATCTTTAAAATCCTCTGACCATTCAGGAAATTGAAATAATAGCAACACATGATCAGCCGATCAGGGCAGGCAGTCAAGCATATACATTTTACATCATCCACCAAATAAAGTAATAGGCACATAGCTGACTCAAGACTTAACTGGTGAAATATTATACGGATAAGATATTCATTTCAATTCTATGACAAACATAACTTGTCAACTAGAACAAACCAGATTTTATTCCAACTAACTATCCAAATACCAGATTAACATCAATTTAAAAGGCCAAAATCTACCTTTTTCACAGGGTGACACATGAAAAGTTATTCAAGCACCACCACGCAATCAGTAAATCATGCATGGATGTATACAGTATGTCAATAGTACAGAAGATAAAAGAACGCTGAACAAATCAAACATACCTAGATGATTAGTGGGTTCATCCAGCAGAAGGATGGTGGGTTTCATGAATAACGCACGTGCTAAGGCAATCCTCATCCTCCAACCACCAGAAAAGTCTCGCGTTTTCTTCGCTTGCATCTGCTTGTTAAAACCAAGTCCATACAGGATTTCAGCAGCACGTTTTTCTGCAGTTGATGCATCCAGAGCTTCTAAACGTTCATAGACACGATCAAGCTGTTCTCCTCCTCCATCATCCTAAATTAAAGTGAAACAACAAATAATGAGCACTTGTAAATTTTTAGAGCGCAGAAACTCTAATATTAAACAACATACTTGAGCAGCCAAGGTTTCTGCCTCCTTCTCCAACTTCAACCTCTCCTCATCACAACTTATAACAGCTTCAAGTGAAGACATGTCAGAAGCTTCAATCTCTCGTGTAAGGTGATATATATCCATGTGTTCTGGAATAGGAAGCTCTCGAGATCCTATTGCCGCAAGAAGTGTAGATTTCCCACATCCATTTAATCCAAGCAAACCATAACGTCTGAAAAATAATACGATAAATATTGAACATATTAGACTTAGCACAAGAATCCATACGAAAATAGAAATTATTTATGCCATAAATAATCAGAAGCTAACCTGCCATAATTCAGCTCCAGCTCAGAATCAACAATAAGGTCATGTCCATGAAAAGTAACTGATAAAGATTCCAACTGCCGAAAGCACACATAACCAGTGTCATCACTTACACTTCCTAATGGGATATACTTCCAAATATCACAACGGAAAATGCACGAATGATTATATTCATATGAGAGATAATCTTAGGAGATCTAAATAAACACAACCCTATAACTCTTCTTATCAAAATAGGAATTAAAAAAGAATTAAGAAGATTAGATACCACTACTTATGCATCATCCAACAGAAATTTTATCGATACGCAACTACTCCAATGAATTCTAAGGAGGAAAAAACCTGGACATTTCAAAATCATTTTCCTCAAAAATATTGAAAGCAATAAAAAACAGGCGAAGACCAGCAAAGCATCATTATAAAAAAGCATCACGTTGAGAAAAAACATATAAAGAAAGTAAATTACAATATTCATCCCGGTGTTATTCAAGTAATATAGTCTAAGGTTGATTTTTTTTAATTAAAAAAAAAAAGTCTACATACAAACTATGAATTTGATTCTAGAATAAATTAGGGCTTACTCTGATGTCCCTGGAGAGAGGATGGGAGCAAAGCACACCAGTACAAGTCCGATCAGATAAATGAAGAGCTTCGACTCCATTCGCCAACTTATCAACTCCATTCTGCGAATTGGCCGATGCTGCCTTCGATGAAGCAGCCGCCGCTGCTTTTCCTCCTCGCTTGGCCGCGGCAGCCGCCTTCTTCTGAGCCGCTTTTTTCTTGCTGGCGTCGGAAACCATCCTTAACCCTAAAAAGTACAAAAAATCAATCACCAAAGGAACCCTAAAAAACACAATCCGAAGGAAATCAGACATATCCATAAGATACCCCAATACATACCTGTGGAAACGGAGAAAGGAGATCAGGCAGGGTATATGAGCGGGTGAGTGAGAAGAAGCAGATCTAGGGCTAGAACAAGTCGTCTTCTTCTCTCACGGCGGTTTCCTTGTGCGCTTTTTATCAGACCTGCGACGCCTATGCGATGCGGATCGAGGGTTCCAGGTTCTGTGATCTCAATGCGGAAGGCTTCCTATTTATAGCACTGCTCCATGTTTCCACGTGTCACGCCTCTTCCTGGTTCCGTAGCCGACTGAATTTGTTGTTTTGGCCTCCTGAGGGCAAATACAAGAATTCATCTGGTCTTAGTATTGGGCTGGCTGCGAAACACGTGATCTTGAGTTGTCGGCCCAATCAAATGAGATCTCTTCAGAAAGCCCATGGGCCTTATAGTTCTGGCGGATGTTAGGAACCGATTCGACCCAAACCGAACATATTCGGGTCTAGTATGACAAATGTTCGAACCGAACCGATTGTTTTAACCCAACATAGAAGCGTGTTTTAAATTTCTTTTACCCTAGTCCCTGTAAGCGTGCGCCGCTGCTTCTCTACCCTCCCTCGCCGTTCTCCCTCTCTCTCTCTCTCTCCGGCTCAGGCGGCGGCGGCGTGACACGTGGTAATTCGAACCCACCAATCCGGTTACACCCTTTGAAATTGTTTTTGACAAATCTCAAGGAAAGTTAGATATGTTTAAAATCTTGGGAACGTTTTCTAAGTTTCTGTAGTTTTTTTTTTTTTTAACAAAGTTTCTGTAGTTGTTAATTTGTAAAGTTCAAAGCTTTATTTAAAGAATTTAATTTTTTTGTTTTTGGTCTAGGAGAATTTAATGATTTGTTTGCTTTTGAAAGGAAATAATTTAAAGATTAAGATGGAGTGCTTGAAAATTAAGAGATAAAAAAATAATTTTAATGAGAAGAATATGCAACAAGTATGGAGATATCGTTTAATTTTTGTTAAATAAAAACTCTACTGCTATAAATTTATCAAAATTGTTTAAATTTTTGTAAAAAGAAAAAAATTAAAGCTTTTTATTTCCTTGATTAAACCAGCCCATGGAAAAACCCTTTAATAATATAAAGTGATAAAAAGCCGGCTAAACCGGTCTAGAAAGTAGAAACCCCTTCCATCGGAACCGCTTCGCGGATTCGTTTGAGGCAGCCTCTTTGCCATTCCCTTTCCCAAACTAAAACTGAATTGGCTGCCTTCGTTTTACCTACTTCTTAAAATTCAGGTTCCTCAAAATTTTAGAGTTTTTTCTCTAAATTTTGCGGAGTTTTACATTGCTGAACGCCATTTAACTGAATCATTTGATTTCTCTTTCTCATAATTAATTGCAGATATCTTGGGAATTCAGATTATTGTTTCGTTGTCATCTGTGGGTTTCAGTCCGCTTCCTTGGGGCTGTTGATTGCTTATTGAAGGTTCAAATCTCTAACCATTCAGGTCAGGCCCCCCCTTGAGCTACAGTCTTTGATTTCTCATGCATTCTAGAATCCTGCCAAAGCTTATAAAAGTTAAAATGTTTTGCTTTTTTCGTTTCTTGATTCTTGTGGTGTGGTTTTATTTCTCTTTCTGGTTGGAAATGGCTGCAGCTAAGCTCAGATGTACTAACCATCGGATACTATGCATACGCTTATAATGTGTCTGTTTCCGTAATGAATGATTTCATTACATCCCCCATCTGTAACCTTCCTGGTTCGAGCTGGATTGAGGTTTCTTCCTTAAGGGTTTCAATCTTTATTTTCCTTTTAAAATCTTTTTTGTCTCGTTAATTTTCACTCTATGCATGGTGAATTGAATTTATCTGCAACCAAATAAGGTTTCTTTCTCGAGTTTACGCATCTATCATGATGAATGTACTGCAAGTTTCCTTTACTGTATTTGTTGTTTTTAAAATGAAATGATCTATAAGCTATACTGTTTCCAAGTCAACTTGAGTAATGGCTGATGAAATATGTTAATAATGCAATTTTGAGGATGGAAAGCCTTTATCTTATTGCAATTTTTGCAATGATTTATTTTGTTACTTAGCAATTAAGTGTGTGATTTTCATTGATTTGTTCGTTTGTTTAATCATTTGTTGCTCCTTTATTGTATACTTCTTACAATCTTTTGTTTTCTTCTGTTTGTGGATCTATCATTAAAAGGTTAGGCAGGCTTTTTTTTGTAATGTCTCTGGCTTTATTGTGACTTCTCTTGAAGGTTATGGATAAGTATTTGTTAACTTGGTTATTCAAGGTTCATTTGATTCTTGCTCGAATTCTTTCCCTTTGCTTCAGTACACAATAGCAATGTTTCTGGATATCTGCAATAATTCGCAATCTTATTGCTGGTGCTTTCATGCCTTGCTTTGCAGTGGTTGCTAGTTACCTTTACCCCAAAATTTTAGCCCCATTGATATTATGGATGGTGAATTGGTTCATTAAAAGATAGGCATTAGAAGCCTATATTGATTCATACCAATGGGAACATATTTTATATGAAACGAATATTTCAACAAATGTAATGAAATACGAAAAAGCTACTCTTGTGTAACACACACACAGAGAAAAAAAACTCCACTTGGAAGTGTGACCAAAGAGGGGAACAATTACAAAACTCCTTAGTACATATTAATATTTATGGGGTTCCATCTCAAAATCAATCGACAATGAGAGTAGCCCATGTCTATTATAAACTATTTTAAGGTCCATTTCCTTTTTAATGTGGGATCCTTAACATGCCCCCTTAAGATCGTGGCTCTTTGGCTCAGCGATCTTGGTCGGATCCCATTTTTGGGCTTTGATACCATATTAATATTTATGGGGTTCCTCTCATAGCCAATTGGTTTTGAGATAGAACCTCATAAATATTAATAGTGGATGACCTCTAAAGGAGACACCAAAACTAACATTGTTCCATGATTTCAAATAATCCCTCAAAATTTCACAAAAACTTGTTCAATCAACCATATCTTCTTTGTGTATTCTCGAGCACTAGCGATTGTAAGGGCCCAATGATCGTTTTTGTGCATCTATCTGAGATGATGTTGAAAATTAAAAGTAAATAAACAAATAAAATAAGCAACACAAACATTAGGGAGAATCGAATGCCCTGAAACCACAAGGTTCATACATAGAGGGTGAGTCAAGGCCTAAAATCAGGCCGAATGGTATAGTCAATGGACAACCAACAAGGGTATGTTTTATTACTAGAGGGATGGAGGAGGTTAAGCCAAAAGATGGTTACCGACTCACAGTAGTGTGTGGTTACTTATCGCCTGAATGAGATACAGATCCGAGATCCCCATTCCTGATCTTGTTACAATGCTTGTCCTTAAGTGTTGTAATTTTCTTGGCTTTGAATGGAAACTAAATAATACAACATGTTTATTCTTCTTACCATCGAGTCTGTTACACTATCCATATATATTTCTGTTTGGCATACCAATTCATAGGATATTTAATATTTTGGATAGGTGGTTCGAAGGGGATTTTGAACACTTAAACTGCTGGAAATGACAGTATTAAAGCGCTATGTGCTGCGATTATTCATATCTTTGAAGTACATAACAGCGAATGTGGTAGATAGAAATAATGGACGAGTTGTGGCAACTGCGTCCACAGTTGAACACTCCATCAAGGGCTCACTTGAATGTGGCCGGTCTTGTAATGCCAAAGCAGCAGCAGTTGTTGGAGAGGTGCTGGCTATGCGACTCAAAGTCGACGGTCTTGAACAGGGGCAAGGACGAGGAATTCACGTGGACGTAAATAAGGAAATTGAGAAAAAAGGCTTAAAAAACTGCACAAAAATCTGGGCTATTGTCAACTCTCTTAGGAATGGTGGAGTTAAGCTTATTCTCGACGACAATGTTGATGGTGCATCTAGGCCAGGTTATCAGTAAGCACATCCAAAATCGATCTTATCATATCCTTCAGTGGGAAAAAATGGGGTGAGGATGGAGCTCAGCTCGACCCATCAGTATGATGAGCTGCTGCTATCTGAAGGCTAAATGTAATGAACTATCTTTATCAGTTGCCATCAGATTAAACCATCAGTGTTTGTCAGCACATGATCTTTGGAAGTTTGTAAAGTAGAGACAACTTTCTAGCTCCACTTTTGTAAAGAGTTGCACAGTAATAATGATAAATAGCCATTTGGGTATTGATTTTATCACAGTGAAATGGCCCTGTATGAAGAACTTCACACTCTGCTTATTCTTCTCTCTTGTAGGTTTAGTTTTGTTTTGGTTGATTTCTTCCATCTGGCTGTCTCTGCCTGCTGGTGCAGCAAGTGCCTTCTGATGAGTCTCTCTTGCGTGGAAGCAAGGATTGTAGAACAAAAGATAATAATAAAGTGCTTTTCAGGCATCTGGAAGAATGATTCCATTTGATGAGAAGTTGATTTTGAATGTGAGCTTATCTTCTATAATAATGAAGCTTGAAATTTTGATTCGACCTTGTAGACTACGGCCGGTTGGTTTGTTTTCTAGTTTGAGAAATATAAGCAATTTCATTTTCCCAATGAATTTGTCCAAAAAGAAAAAAGCTTTTTGAGAGTGAAAAAAGTGAGATTCCATTTGCAAGGAAGGACCTCAATTATTGGTAGAAAGCTAAGTAGAGCACTAGAGAGGGGTGGATGAGTGTTGCATATTCTTGTTTTTTTCCTCCACTTGCTCCACACAAATTTAACTTCTATATTTCTACAATTTTCTAATCCTTTTTAATTTTGCAAGAGATCAATTTTGATTCATCAATATTTATTGAAAAGTGTAAGATTAAACTGCAACCATGGCTAGATTTATCTTTTTAGTAGTGTGGGTTTGCTGGGTGGACGTCACCAACAATGGCCACGTCACACTAACACACACCAATCACATTCGTCATTTCTTTGGGCCCAATGTTTCTCACTTTTTGATTCTTAACTGTATCCGCCCCTTTCTTTTTATTCCAATGACAAAACACTACCTACCGTTTAATACAATTACTTAGAAAGTTACATTTCTAAACTTTTTCTCTTCTTTCAATCTTATCTCTCTTACTAGTCAACACTATTACTTTTAAAATATAGTTCAAGAAAAATAAAATCGATTTGATAACTTTTTAATAAACTCACTTTTATTATCAAGTCGTCTATTAACTTAGTAAATGATGAATGATGATGAGATAAACCACTAAGCTAAGAACGTATTTTATGAAATTTTGACGATGAAATTTAGATCGTAAAATATTATCATTTAATTGAATTGATTATTAACTATTAGAATAATATATGGAGTCTTACATCATACATGCAAACATTTGTGATAAGTTTTTTATTTATATGAAAACATTAGCAATTATAATAAATCATTTATGATTCAATCAAACTTGTTTATTTGTGGTAGTGAGCGACAATAAGATACCAAATTGATATTGTTTAATATCAAACATAAGCGAATCCAAAAATTTTCATAGGGGTAAAATTTAACCTTCTATCCTTTTATATTGACATTTCAATTCTAAAATTTCATGGACAAATTAGAGAAAAAACTTGAAAATCTTTTTTTTTTTGGTAATATTTTGAATTTAGGACAAATAGAGTGTAACCGTGTATTTTGTGTTGGCCCCTTTTGGTCCCTTAATCTTGTTGATTATCTAAATCTCTCAAAATTTAGGTCAAGGTAAAATTTACCCATTTATTAGAAAAAGACAAATAAATTAAATTACAGAAATCTTTACCCAGAAAAGGGTAAAAAAAACCCAAAATGGAACAAAGTTTACATTTTAAGAATTGAATGGCAATATATTTTGTGACATCACATAACGGAGCAAGCATTCGGATTCTCATCGCTAAACATTTGAGGCGAAGGCAGGTGTTGTCCCACATATCCACCGGGTCCATACCCGTATCCATATCCGTATCCGTATCCCTGAACCGGAACCGCCGCGTAGTCCGGTCTGTTTCCCTCCGTGATTCCGCCGCCAGTAGTTGGCTGTTGAGCGGCATCTCCGGCGGTCTTGTTGTTGTCAGCGGCGTCTCCGCCCTTGGCTCCGTCGTCTTTGTCCTTCTTGGGTACAACCACGGCAACTTTCCGCTTCAGCTTCTCCTCCAAATTCTGAATCAGAGCCTTCACATCCATTTTCCCTTTCACCATCACCAAATCTTTTTGTCTCTCGATCGCCATATCCTCCACTCCTACACACACACACACACAAACAAAAACGCACTCAATCCTCAATCCAATCCAATTCCTCTTCCCATTTCAAAAATTATCACTTAATTTATTAATCAATCGTAAAAATGGAACTCACCTTTGGTCCTCGATACTACTTTGTAAATCTTCTGGATGCATCCCTGGCAGTGCAGCTCCACCTTCAAAGTCGCCGTCGTCACCGGAGTCTGCTTTTAAATAATAATCAACAAACTATTATTATTACTTTTTTTTTTTTAAATCCCAGTTGACCGGACTAGAGTTAATTGTTGACAGCTGTAGTAACAAACTAACATGCGCGTAGAGTGAAGGAAGCGCACGTTACCTCTTTTTCTTTGGGCTTCTTCTCCTCTGCTTTCTTATCCTCTGCTTTCTCATCCTTTTCTTTCTTCTTCTCCGACGACGACGACACAATGTCGATTTTCTTCTTCGTTTTGTCGGCCAGCTTCTCCCGGAGCTTCGACGCGTCGAATTTTCCGATCACCGTCAGCTTGTTGATTTCCCATTCTGCTTTCACCTTCTCCACGCCTAAAAAACAGAGTCACTGTCAACGCCGGCGAGAAAAGAAGCCAAAAAGGGAAGAGAATCAATAGAATACCTTCGATTTCTCGGACGCATTTTCTGATTTTGTTGGCGCAGCCCTCGCAGTGTATATCGATCTTGAACACCACACTGGAGCTGTCTTCTTTCTTCTTCCCATCGTCGCCATTTTTTTTCTGTAATCGGAAAATGAGTATGAGAAGAAAAATGAAATTGGGAGAAGAACAAGAGAGAGAGAGAGAAATAAGTGAGTTGACTACTGACCGCGCCCATTGTTACGAATCAAGCGAGTTCGAATTTCGGTTTTTTTTTTCTTTCTTAGAGATTTGGTTTTTTGAAAGTTGAGAGTGCTCTGCGCAGTATTTATAACGGGGAAGACGCGGCTCAGACGGGCGATGAGGTGGTTGCTTCCTTCCGCGGCTGCTTTCACTTTTTTTTTTTCTTTTTTTTTTAAAGCATGCTTTCATATATTTTTATTGTTATACAAATTTAATAGTTACATTAAAAAAAAAAACAAAAAGTTAAGTAGATTATCTCGCGTTTAATATAATTCACAATATTAGAAAATAAGTTGGGAAAATTAATATTTGTCTTAAAATTTTTATTACTTTAATATTTTTTTTATAATATTTCAGCCACACAAGTGAATTAAAGGATCGTTAATTCATCCTTAAAATAGTATCAGAATTTTATTTTCTAGGGAAAGTGTTAGATAGAAAAAATCTAAAACATATTTAAACTCAAGTATTATAGTTTTACATTAAAAAAATTACATTTTTTTTATATTTTAAAATAAAAAGGTGCTGTGACTTTTTAAAAATATACCGTTACAAAATTTATCTTTATTTATTTTATTTTTTAAGAGATGGGATTTGTTTAGCTGACTAGAAAATGGAGTCTTATCGTTTTCTTGGATAGAGACTCGGAAAAATGAAGTCTTTTATTTTTTCAATTAATTTAATGTTGTGAGATTGATGAGGTGGTTGCTGTTAAACATTTATTAATAAGCCTTAACTCGTGATCATTCAAGAACAAGAGGACATATAATCCAAAATACAATCATAATGGACCTTTACACGAAAGAAAATCAAAATCTGTGAAAGTAATTAGAATTATTTGGTCTTCTCCTCAATCGTATGTCATAATTGTATTTTAAATCTATGGGTCCATTGACGAAGATGAGTCAAAAGCCCAACAAACAATGAAAATCAGGGCAGGTTTAGGAATGATTTATCAGGAGTGGTTTTAACGAATGATATTTATTTATAATTAATTTTTTGAAAGTAATTTTTATATAATTAAAAATGTTTTTGAAAGATTAATATTTAAACTTCAAAAAGTGAATTTGATAAAAATTTGAGCGGGAGAAACAAAAAGTTAGAGAGATAAATTTTAGAGAACAAGAGTAACCATTTTTAGATAAAGAAATAAAGAATATGAAACTAAAAATTTATAAAAAGTTCAAAAAATTATAGACATTAAAATTAGAGAAAGTAAACAAAATTAAATGTAAATAATATTAGAGAGTGACAAAAAGTTTAGAAAAAGAAAAAAAATCTCAAAATTTAAGGTAAAAATAAGATGATTTTTAAAATAAAGACAATAACAATTTTTAAAATTAATTTTATATTAATTTTTTTGGTAAAAAATCAATCGGAAAATCACCCTCAACATGATTGACCAATTGATTTTGGATTTGTCTAAAATGATTTATGAATTATTACAAAACCTTCTGTTTTAAAATGGGAGTTATTTTGGTATAAATAAAAATGGTTGAAGCTCTATCATAATTTTAAGAGTTAGTTATATGGTTTTTATATATCCTTTTAAAAAAATATACGATGAACATCTCGTGCCTTCAATAATAAAAAGAATGGATTATTATTAAATTTGGGTAGAAAATAAAGTCAAGCGTTTACTTGGGGTAGTGCGTGATGCGTGGCTCAAAATAATTAGCTGTGGTTATGGTACAGACTCCAGAATCTACCAAGAAGTTTCCACCGGGTAAGTCGGTGACCGGCCAACCGCGTACTTCACAATCCCGACTTTCAACGGTAAATAGTAACAGTAAATCAGTAACATAATCTATGCCTATATCTACCTTTACTACTGTTCTAAATCTAACCAAGAATAAATAAATAAATAAACTTTAAATTAAATCTAACTATAAAAAATCTAATAAAATCTTAAGGAAATCAAAACAATCATTAAAAAAAAACTTTTAAAAAATAAAAGAAAATCAATTTCATCATCGTTAAACATTTAAATTTTAAACTAAATCTAATTTTTTAAAAACTTATTATTTCATACTTATACATATATCCATATTATATTTTTTCTCAATTACGTAACTAAAGACTACATTGTATTAGAAATTATTAATAAAACATAAATAAACAATATTAAACTTTAATTTACTAATTCGAATAATTTCTATATATATACACATTATTTTGTTTCGACATTTTGATCGTAACGATATTTTCATAAGTATATTACTAATATATTTAGATATGATTGTTAAAAATTTTTGCTTCAATATCCACAATTTCCATGATTTTTTTTTTCAAAATATGGATCGAAATCGACATGTCTATCCACCATATCTGTAAAATCGGTACCTCGACATTTCTATCGACATCGATATTTCGAACATTGATCTCTACCTTATAATATATATCTATATCTATGGAATATATAAAAATATGAAAGTCGAATAATTTTCTATTAGATAAAATTATACTTCACTTAGTTATCTTTCATCTTAGTCTAAATTTCTCTTTTCTATCCATCTCTTTCACATTTTTCCCTCTCTCAATTATAAGTCTGGGGCACTCGTAAACATGTCACAAACTTTCAGTAAAATTAACAAAACAACAATAACATTTAATTTGTTCAAATATATTAACCCATTCATCATTCATTTCCATTATTGTCCATTAACATTACATTTTTGTTTTCCAATTTACAATAGTTATATGAACATGTTTTGGAAAAAGCAGCCAGAAAATTGAGTTGGACAAAATTCATAATAAGTTATTGTTGTTTTCTTAAAATTTCATTCAAATAACCATACTTGCATATTTTCGTGTCTTTCAAAAAAGTGTTCCGGTTTCCATAATTCTTTTTTCTCTAAAAAGGTTAGAAATTTATAGGATTTTTCTTTATACAACAAATTAGTCGAGGGATTCGAATTCATGACTTCTCAAATACCAATTACCGCTAAGCTAAGTTTAAGTTTATGTTTGCTTGAATATTTTAATTGACATAAAAACTTAAGAAAAAAAAAGAGGAAATGAAATATCCACTTTTTAACTTGAATGAAAATATTTTAAATACTTAAAATAAAGTAATTTAGATTCTTATGACTCAAGTTATATTTTTACTTTTTGGTTGAAACAACTTAAGCTTACTTAAAAAATTATAAGCAATATTTTCTTAAATATTAAATTAACTTTTAAAAAAATACTGCTTAATGTTAATGTTAAAATGGGATGACGTTAAAGTTAGGTGACTTAATACTCAGTGTATTAGCAAAAATTTAGAGGGGAAAAAAGATGATGTAAGATAGGAAAGTTGGGAAAAAAATTTTAGTTTCCTCCTTATATGTTATTTTTTTCCTTCTAAATTTCTATCAATTGACTGAATATTATGACATGCAAATTTATCATGAGTCCATTTAACATTTCCTACAACGGGGAATCAAATTGAAAATAGTACATAATACTAGTTATAGAACTAAATTGAAACTTTTTAAACCAAAAAGATTAAAGGAAAAAAGTACCAAAAACAGTAAATCATATATTTACCCATGTATAACATTATGTCTCACAATGTTTACAAAAACTCACAATTGTGCAAAATATTTATTCAAGAAATTTATTTGAAGTTAGAGCTTTAGAATCAGAAGCTGGAAGTGGAAGTAAGTATCAAATGGATGTAGGCCTATGTTTTAATTGGGCTTACAGAAAATGAGCGAAACCTTGGGCTGGCCCATTAATAGGATGTAGACCCAGATCAAACTACTCTAACTTAACTTTTTTTTTTTCCTTTCAGACTAACTTGATTTAATTAGTTAATTTTTTAATATAAGATATGAAGATGGGTTCAAACTCACAACTTTTTGATTAATCGTTGAAGTATGTTCGTTTTGGCATTTAAATGATCGATTTTGTTGAAGATATTTTGTGAGAAAAACAAAAATTGATATCTGAAAAAGGTATTTAATTTGAATGACATTTCCATGTCCAACATATGATGATAGTTCCGAAAGAAAGAAGCAGCGATTCGACAATTCCAGAAAAACTGCTTACTTGTTCTTATTCGGTGCCATAATATAACACCAAACGCCGACATTTTTTTTTTTTTTCTTTTTCTAGAATTGCAGAATATTAAACCAACTTTATTTATTTTATTTGGCGCCCATTCTATTGAGAATTATTTGAATATTACACCAACAAATTTATTTTGACCATTATACCCCACAAAGACGTGGCACGAGCTCAATCAATGGAGTGGGGACTTTCTTAGCATAAAGCATGAAATTCGAAATATGGCAGTAGCAGTGGGACAACCCAACAACAACAATAATAAGAAGAAGAAATAACGTTGTTGAGCTGAGTGCACTGCAAATTCCAAATTTAAATCAGAACATTTCAACTATGAGTCTATCCACTTGCAATTGCAACAAAAATCTCCGGGAAATGATGAGTTCTTGTTTTTAGGTTGGAGAGTATATTTGTCTTTTTAAGTAAAGTAAACACATTTCTGTTTGTTTTTATTTTTTCCTTCTTTAAAACACAAATCCATTTGTCAGATCCACCTATACTGACCGATCCACTGGCAGCTTCTATGAAAATCTCTTGTCCTAGCTTAGCACGTTTGTGAATGTTAGTTTTATTATCATTGTTTTTTTTTTCTCACGATCATAAATTGTTATATTTAATTTATACATTGACAGTACTTGCTCAAAAATATAATTAGAATGAGGATGCATCAAATTACAAGAACCCGTTCAAAATCAGGCGCTGGAGGGTATGTATGTCTTTTCCAACGCACCGCAAAAAAGATATAATTTTTCTCGATAGAATAAAATCCATTTGGCCTATCTTCTAGTTCCATCCACGCCATTATTCTATTCCATTCCATTCCAGGAGCTTCCATGCAAATCTTCCTTTTATTTTATTATTATTATTTTTTTATTTATTCTTTTACCGCAACTGGCATTTTGTAACAAATTAATATCTGTTAGCTCGTTTATAAATTTTAATTAATTTTAACTTTTTTTTTCAACGATAGCAGATATTTGTACTTGGCCTTGAGCATATTTAATG